GCTAAGCACGGGTTTTCATCCCCAAACAGATGGTCAAGTGGAGCATACTATTCAAAACCTTGAGGATATGCTTAGATCTTGTATAATTGACTTCAAGGGTAATAGGGATAAACACCTGCCTTTTTTAGAGTTTTCCTACAACAATAGTTACTATTCATCTATATTTATGGCTCCTTTTGAGGCCTTGTATGATAGGAGATGTAGATATCCAATTGGATGGTTTTTAGGGGTGAGTCGCAAATTTTGGATCCCAATTTGATTTATAAGACTTTGGAGAAGATTCATATAATGAGGAATCGCTTGAAAATAACCTATAGCCGCGAAAGTCTTATGCGGACCATAGGAGAAGAGAATTAGAGTTTGAAGAAGGTGATAAGGTATATCTAAAAATGTCGCCTATGAAAGGGGTGGTGATATTTGGCAAGAAAGGAAAGTTGAGTCCTCGTTATGTTGGTCTCTATGAAATCTTGCAAAGAGTTGGTAAGGTTTCATATGAGATGAAGTTACCTAGTCAATTGGCTTCGGTTTATTCGGTGTTCCATGTTTCCATGCATAAGAAGTGTATCAGTGATCCCGAGTCCATTTTTCCTATTGAGGGTCTAGGTGTTCAAGATAAGCTCTCTTGTGAGAAGGTTCTGGTTGAAATCCTTGATCGACAAGTAACGAAGTTAAGGAACAAGGAGGTGGCTTCCGTAAAGGTGTTATGGAAGAAAAACCTAGTTGAGGGTGCAACATAGGAGGCAGAGGCCTACATACAGTCTCATTACCCTCATTTATTTTATAACCAAGGTTAGTTGTTCCTATTTATAGTGAAATAATGAGTAGATCTGAAGTTGCCTTGATTTACTTTTGGAAAAATAGTGAATTTCATTCTTTGTCACAGTTAGTTACAGTGAATTATGCCTATTTAAATGAAAGTTTTCAATAAAAATGCTCTTTTATTTGATTTGAACTTATATGGTGTATTATGGTATGTTTTGTCTTCATGAGTTGTATTGAGCATGTTGATATGTGGTGTATTATGGTACGTTGTGTCTTCATGAGTTGTATTGAGCATGTTGATATGTGTTGAAGAAAGATTTGGCATAATAAATGAGCATGTAATGAATGTTGAACTCTTATGAGTTGAAAATGATGTTTTGAGTTGCATTGTGAAAAAGGTCATGTGGTAATGTTAATTTAAATTGTAACTCATGTTTTTATATGTTGTTGTTGGTTGGGTTGTTTGTCTTGAGTCTATTCCTTCCTTTTAAAGAATTTTAGTGTCATTCAGGGATGAATGATCCTAAAGGGGGGTATATTGTAATACTCCGAAATTCTAAAGCCTAATCTAGAGCCTAACATGAGATTCTAAGAGTTGTAACTTTGTTTTAAAGTTATCTATAATGTATATAAGTCATTTAGGAAGTTCAAGAATCAAAACATCAAGAAATGTCTATTACATCAGAAAACTAGTTCAAGAGGTGCTAGTGTGCCTTAAGACTATTTGACTAAGTTATAGGAGTCGAAAAATGATGAAATTGGGTGGTAAGGTGTCTAACACATATTATAGTTGGTTTATAGTCGAAACGTCTGGGTAAGACTCCCCAAGGACCAACCAAAGGGTCCTTGAGGACCCTTGCGTTTGGGCAAAAAACTATCAAATGGCAGTGTCTACCTACGCGTGCAGCCGACGAGGCATGATTGGATATATGAAGAGCCGATGCCTCCGTAAAACAACACTTAGCCATTTTGGATAATGGTCCATTTAGATCAATCTCTGAGACCAACAAGAGGTATACAGGACGGAAGGGAGCAAGGGCTTAGACTAACATACGGCGTATCAATCGGGGTCTTGTAGGTCAGGTCCCTCAGTTTTTATTTCATTTTAATTTATTTAATTAGTTAATTAAGTGGTGAATTAATTATCTGGGTGTTAATGGAGGCCTAGTTAAGTTATTTAATGACTCCCACAAAGACCCAAAACCTAATTAAACTAAACCTAACTCTCATAATTCCCAAAACCCAATTGCTCTTCCTTCTCTATTCTTTCTCTCCTAAAGAAACTCCATAAAAGACCAAGCAAAGGAGGGTTCTAAGTCTGAAAAATATTAAGTTTTCTCCATCAAACTTCATAAATTAGTAAGGTATGGGATTTCTTTCACCTTTGGGATCTCTTTCCCCAAAGGGTTTCTTCAAATTGATTTTTAAAAGAAGAGTTTTAGATGGGTTTTCTTCTATTACGAAATTGATCCTCTAATTGAATTTGTTTATGATTTCTTTTGATAATTATAAGGATATTATGATGTAATGTAATCCAGTTATTCTAGTTCTTGATTAGTTAACATGGGTTTTGATGTTGATCATGAATTCGACCTAGGTTCCTAACCATAGGCTATGAACTATTGATAAATTGTGGTGTAGTGATTCAATTGACTTTATTATGGTGTTAATTAATATTGTGTGATGATATTACATCTATTATTGGGTGGAATTTGATGGTTGATGGTAAAACCTTGATGATGTCTTGTGAAGGAGATTGGGGTAAGTTTTGTGATCTTAAACCTTTACTTCAATTATGATTACTTGTGTTTAGTGATGAAGTTATATTGAAGTATACCTTATGATAAGATTGATTAGGGTTGATATGTTAATTGAATTGAAATGTCTTGATTATGTGATTATGATATTATGCTTGGGATGTATTACTATAACGTTGGTGATGAAGTACCTATGTGCCTTACTATGATATAATGATGTTAATGTGCTAATCTCACATATGAGGGTTGTAATGAAAGGTGTTCTCATGCAAATCCTATTGAGCTATGACTATGACTATATAAAGGGTAAACCCTATGACCTAATCTAAGATATGATTATTAATGAAAGACATTTCAAAGGGGACTCTAACTTAGCACCGAGTGAACTAGAGTGAGGAGTGTCCCTTCCCACAAAGGAAAGATAGGATCACTTATGTACTCATGATATTGGAGACTATAATGCATTTAGCATAAACAGAGTCTGAACTATATCTCCTAGTTCTTGAACTATGTTCCTTCATATGAATGCCAGCTAGTGGATCCACGTAGATACTATGTTCATGTTTTGGTACTACTTGGCAAGTAGTCCACCTTCCTTTGGTGTATGGTTCCATGACACCGGATTCCAGATTGGCTCATGTGGTCTTTGTAGGTAAAATCAAGATGTTCTCGAAAGTAAAATAAAGTAATGAAACGAACACTAACTAAGGTGACTTAAAAGGTTTGACTTAGCCTAGGTAGGGGTATGGGACTCTACTTATGCCTTGCACTAGTTTGCCTTGCGGGAAGCCTTAGGAGTTGTTCTTGTATTCTATAATGTATGTGTTATGTATATATTGACTTTACTATAATTGACTCTATATGATGTTAGTTTCACTTATGAGCATGATGTTGGTCTACATTGCTAAAATATGATGGTGGTTACTCTTAACATTATGTAATGTGAAGTTAGGTATTACTTATGGTAATTTATCTTAGTTTACTTGATTAATTAAGGTTATGGGATTTTGCTTGATCATGGAACATGTAGACTTGATGAGGGTTTACGGGTAAGGGTCTACTATATGTTAAATATTATGAAGTTCTTATATATGCCTTGTGGTTATAATATGATGTATAGGTTGGTTGGCTATACATATGTTGACTTGACTTGGTAATGTTGGTCTTGTGTTGAATATGATATTGTATTTAGGATTATGTGGCTATTGGTTCATACGATTCTTAGGAGTGCATAAAAATGGGATTTTGCAGTAAGTTTGCATTTCATTGTAAATTGTCCTTTTTAAAGCATGATTTCTATGTTGGATGTGCATATGGCCCTCTACATAGTACAAGTGATGTGATGATCCCGTTTCTCCCTTTTTACCCAACATGTTAGGTTCCAGTCTTAAAGGGTTCGTGACGGCATTGGAAGAAGACTTGGATCCTCATTCTCCAAGTTGGGTAGGTCCTCACCTCTCCGAGGCAAACACCATGTTCTAGCATTGGATGTTGATTAGTCTTAAAGACACTTTGTTCATTCTCTTTCATTTGAGTACTATGATTGTGTAGCTTATATGTAGATTTATTGGTATTGATGTATGGGCTATGCCCAATTTTTATACTCTTGTTTAGATGGTTTAATATGAGACATCCATTGTAAGACTGTTGTGTATCTTACATATATATGTGTCATAAAAGTAAAAGACTATGTATTCTTCCTATATGAAGGGTCTATGTATACTCTCTACTAATATATTATTTGTAAGCGAGAGGTCTAAGTAAACCTCATGAAGTAGTGTAGGCGAAAAGTTCTAAATTTTCCACGTTTTAACCTATGAAATGTAATGACGAGTACTAAGAGGCTAGTCTTAGTCCTCTTTGAGGACGACGACGTCGATTGCGTCTATGTGGTACTTCTCAGATGTGACAACTTGCTTGGATCCAATAATGATTCTCGATTGCCAACCACATTTAGGGTGCAGGCTCGGGGGTTACAATATCTGTTTAAAATTCTTTGTGGGATTGAAAATGTCACTGTCCTTTTCTTCTAGACTTGGCCAAAATGGGGAATTTTAAAGTGTTATTCTTAGTAAATTTAATGATTGAAATTTCTATAATTTAAGTTATTCTAACTATTTTCGGTTTTGAATAGATCATTATCACCTTTATCACATTTTAAATTAATTATTTATTTTATTTTACTTTGTATGGTAAATAACTAAATAATCGAACCAAATTGATAACAACTAAATCGGTATGTGTATATGGTATTTGATTTTGTTTGGATTTACTAATTTTAAAATCAATTAATTTAGTGTGTTTTTGTTTTTTATTAATAATAGAACCATGAATACCTCTACATGAAATTATTCAGTATTTAACATTTCGTATTTTATTGATGCTATTTACATCCCTATGAAAGTGAGATATAGTTGGATATGAGATTTTTAAAAAAAAAAATCTATAGTTTAATGGAGTTTTGGTATATGTTCTACTTCAAATAAACAATACAAGATTAGCTCTTCTCAAGGAATAATGACAGGTGGTATTGCAGATAAGATTGTTCGAGTCTCTTGAAATATGTCCTCCTGTCAAATTAACAGGCATTTTTTCACGGTCCAAAAGTCGAGGTTATGATGGCACACACTACATCCCTTCCCCCCAAAAAAAGTGTGTGATCCAAAAATAACACACATATCTACGAAACTCCAAAAGGGTGGTCAGGCCACAAATGATAGAAAAGAAAACAAAAAATATCCCAAAAATAGGTAGCATAAGTATAAAGAGCGTCTAATACAACTTTAGAGTATGAAACACATCATAAGTATCCAATAAGAAATAAGGACTGAAAATACCATATGGAACTAATGGTGATCCAAAATTAGGATCTCACCACCACTCCGAAAAGATCTTAAAAGCGAGAAATGATTTGCCACTGCAGGGAGTACCCTAACTAGAATCTGCATTAAAAATGATTCAGAAGTAGCTGTAAGAACAACCCACAAGTGCTCAATTGGCTAAGCCAACTGAGTAAAGGAATAAATCAGCTTATAAATTAACTAAGAAACGATTCCACTTGTATACAAAAAATTCCCAATCCGACATTGGTGTCGCAAGTTTATAATGAACGGTGTGAGTAAAGTAAATGCATAAGGAACCTAATTCAAGAGGATGTGTTTTGCCTACAACATAGTTATTTCCCATCATTAATAAATTTAAACTTGCATCCCCCCCCCCTCCACCCATTTGAAAATATGGTTGCACTTCAAGCCTAGTATAAAAAAATCACAAGCACAATAACAACAATATCTTGATATATAAGCCCAAACGATACGCACTAGTAAATCTGAGTAGTATAGCTAAAGATAGAACAAAATAACACATATTGTTAGCTCTATTAACTTTATGATGCAATGACGATACTAATCCTAAATAATCAGTGCAAGAAAAAAAAAGATACATCCAAACTCTGTGAATAGAAAGCATAAATCTAAACACGGAAGGAAGTCACACACTACCATAATGAAGGAAGATTGATAAACGCAACTATCAGAACTGAGGAGATTGACTCGCGTAAAAATAAAATCTATACGAGCCAGCAACCTACTAGAAGGAAAGCACATCTTATCAGAATCAAGGAAGATTGATTTACATCAAGGAAGAATTACTTTTCCAATGATGGAAACTAGTTACCACACACTTGTCCTAGCTTCACTATTTGATGTTGTAAAAACATTGAATTTAATAAATCTAACTAGTGAAAAGAAAAAAAAGATAGATTAGAAAATTATACGAGTAGAATATTTTACCAGCAAGTGAATTGCAATCTTTCATGTCAAGGACTTCATAATAGGTTATTTATCTAATCGGAAACATTCAATCTCTAAGGAAACCAAGAGGACTGAATTAGGCACCACATGGTGATTAAAACCAGTAAAAGAATATTTGTATCAATTGTGTCTTTTATCTCTTTAAACCTTATATAATGCTCCCTCTGTTTTAAAAAGGATGGCCTAGTTTGACTTGGAACGGAGTTTAAGAAAAGAAGGAGACTTTTTAATCTTGTGGTTCTAAATTAAAGTTATGTCAAATGTACCAAAATTACCTTTATTCTTGTGGTTTTAAACATGCCACGTGGAAAGTTAAAGTTAAAATGTTGCCAAAAAAGGAAAGGGGTCATTCTTTTTTAAATAAACTAAAAAGGAAATTGGGACATTCTTTTTGAAATGGAGGGAGTATGTTTTTTAATCTACTCGTCTAAATTGTAGGGTAGTTGACTTGAAAAAATCAGCAAATGTATATATATTTGTCCTGAAATAAACAATGCTTATACAAAAAGAACAACATTTGCACAAACTGAAATGTCCTGGTAAGATACAAATATTCAAGTCAAATTAACTAATCATCACAAACAAGATGTTGAGTGGGGAGAGAATTTACCTGTGCTATCCAAACAACCTTCCTTTTTGAATGCATCTTGAATGCAGACTCCTTTCATAAGCTGATATGAATATCAAATTGGTCATTCTGGTAACTATAAACCTCAAATCGAAAACAGATAGCATCATAAGGAAAAAAAGTACAATTCATCAATTAGTTATACCTTTGACTTGATTGATCCAATATGATGCAACAACTCTTTTCCATTTCTTTTTTGTGAGCCACGCAAAATACAAATGCCAACATTCAAAATCTTTTCAATGGCAGCTCGAGAAGCAACAGATGTACAGGTCTTTATAAGTTTCAGAGCATGTGGAACCAAATCCATCCTTGAATCACAGTATCGACATAAATACTGTGCATCCAACTTGATGCTTCCTCCAACTTTCCCAGCCATGTAAGATCGTAAAGCACAGTCTAGATGGGAAACATGTCCACATATATATCCATCTACTATTGCTTCACATTGAATATAACTGTACCCATCATAGTCTGAACTGATTTTTTTGAAGCAAAGTATACAGCAACAACCTCGGCAAAAACCAGGCTCACTGCAATACATGTCATAAAGCATGTCTGGAAAAGGATTTTCTGTTGATAAACTGCTGCAAATTCTGTACCACCCTTACAAGTTTGCTCTATTATATCTGAGTCAAAATCAATATCAAATTAAAAAGAAAACAAATTTGGCATCAGGTCAATAAAAAGATGTGGCGAGTGTCTTTTTTAAAAAAAATTGACTCAAACAATCAAATAAATATCTACATGCTATATACCAAAAAGCTAACCTTTTGAGCTTGTCGACTTCTTCACAGGAATCATCCAACTAAATGAGGCAAAAAATTGGTTTATATCCATATCAGGATACTCAGATTGGAGATACTTTTCAACTGAAATCTTACTTCGAAAAGAATTTTTTCCACCTTTTGGAGCCTTAAAATGCTTCGGAAGATACAAATATCTATCTCTAAAGGTGCCTGAACTTGCAACTCTTTTCCCTGCGCGCCAACCCCACATATCACCGGCATTTGGCCAATCTACAGGAGCATATGGCAAGCCTTTGCCAAAGTCAGACTCAGAAACTGGATAAAGTTGAAGCTCAATTTTATTGATTCTGGAAGCACTCCCATTATATATAGCATGTGCACGACTCTCCCCAACCTCCTTCATGGCAAACATTTAGCTGGAAATCTCTAACTCTGTTAATTCCAATAGAAGTTTGAAACCATTAAAATAAGGAAACATCAAAATTCCACAGTAGAAAGTAAATTGGCTATAAAATATTGAAGAAAAGAATAGCTAAACGAGACAATCTAAAAGTTGGGGATATGCTCCAAGAAAATAAGATACTTTAAACAATAAGAAATTTGTTAGAAACAACAAAATTTAAAGAGTATTTTCAAAACTAGAAACTTAAAACCAATAAAGAAAATAGAATATGAAACAAATTTAAAATAATAAATAGAATATTTTCTTGAAAAGAAATTTACCCCACTGAATGCACAATGTTTTCTTAAGAAAATTAGTCCCCAAGTACTCGAGGTTGATGGAATCTATCCTCTAATAATAAAATAATGTTAGTCAACGGTGTATAAATACCTAAAACCACGATGTTAGCAAACCAATCGATAACAATAAGATTCACTTCGAATACTAAATTTAGAAGAAAAGAAAGAAGTTCAAAAGTTTGTTATTGAAAAATAAGAGAAACCCATCTATTTATAGAGAATAGATGGTAGTGTCAATGGCTTCTTATTGTGACTTATCATAAAATGTACAACCCTTCAGAAAAGTCACAATCTTATGGAAAAGTCATAACTTTTCATCCAAGTCACAGCTCTTCAGATTAGTCGCAACTCTTCAGAAAAGTTAAAACTCTTTATAAAAGTCACAACTCTTTAATTTCTTTCACATCTTTTTAAACCCAACAATTAATCGCCATCAAACAAATTGTGACCTTGAAGGGTTCTTTAGTAGATACCACAACAAGCCATTCCTTATGTGAGTCATGAATGGAACCCACAGATTTTTTAGAATGTTAGTTAGAGTTACGACCCAAAACGAGTCATGAATGGAACCCACACTTAACCTCCTAGGTGGGAGAACCAATGAATCCAACCTCAACTTATATTTATCATTGAACTTATTAATATTAATCATAATGCGGAAGCTTAAATATTATTAGTGTAGGAAACACAAATCCATCAAAGTCTACTATATGTCATTTCTAAAACCTGAAAATCGTCACATTAAAGACATCTAATCTTCAAATACTAAGTCTAAGAATATTATAGGCACCAAAATAAATAAATAAAATAGTTTATGTCCCAAATCTAAGAATATCATGTCATGACCGAGAGAATCCAACACGAGCTAGAATGAGTAGCTCAACCTGGAACCTGATATCCTGGAGACTGGATAGATCAAGTACACTTGTTGTACTCCATAAAAGAAAACAAAGGAAAACACAAGTAGGCTTAGTAGGGAGAAACATCTAATGAGTAGGTATCATCAGTCAACCCAAAATAGAAACTAATATACAATGAAAAATAATATAAAATCAACTATGAGACTTAGCAGGTGGCAAGCAACAACCAACATGAACCCTTCACAACAACAATAAAGTAAGTACACAATCAATCACAATATCAAACACACATATGGAACGCATGCCTCCACACCACACTCATTTGGGAAATGAGTTCTTTGAGATTGAGTGCATTAAGTTAATTAAATATATTTTTTCGTTCATGTGTCCGTGTCGGAACGTGACACTCTGATCCAATTATATCGTGTCGGGATGTGACACTCCAATCCGATAGTACTTTGTCAGAACGTGACACTCTGATCCATACTGTCGTGTCGAAACGTGACACTCCAATCCATAATGTTGTGTTGGAACATGACACTCTCATCCATAATATTGTGTCAAAGCGTGACACACTCATCCATAATACCGTGTCAGAATGTGACACTCTGATCCATTAATTTGTTAATGTAGCATTTATTATTACCACTTCTCAGTGCACTAACAACATTTTATCAAGTCTTCTTTGTTCAACCAATCAATTCGTCGACGGGGCTCAAGATTATATATTTCACATTTTCAAGATTTCAGACCAATCAAAGAACACACAACCATATAATCAAGTACATAGGGAACTTCAAAATGTTACTCAATACATATCAATCTCTATTAAAAATAAATCTATCAAATAAAATAAACCATAACCTACCTCCACCGAAGACCTAACGTCAAGCAAGCTAGTTCCCTAGTGTGTTCCTTTCCTCAATGTCTCAGAGTATTCACAATGTATCAAGTATGCATAGTATACAAGCAAACCAGTCGGAAGACACTCATATTACTATAACCAGATTCTTAAAATTTGATACAAACTAATGTATCAAGTTTAGTATTCCTCAAGTTGCAAGTCTAGAGTGATGTCTTAATTCCTTTCAGTAACTTAATCTAATTATATTTATATAATGCATAAATACACCTAAAATTTAATTACCTATACCAATATATCAATATTTGTATCAAAACCTAGCACCACAACAAAAATCCAACACATCGAAACTAACTAAGAACTCATTACTTCAATCCACCCGTAAGTAAAATTGTAGAAGCAAGATCTACTCTATACTCTAAATATTAATTAATAATTGCCTATAACCCTTAATTAATCATCTTTATTCTATTATTATCTACTCACAATCTTGTTCCCATAATAATCAAACTCTACACCAGAGAATAATAGGATGTCTTTAAGCTTTTAAGAAATAAAATTGAAACAATTTTTAATCAATATCTAGCCAACAACATATATCCATATCATAAGTCATGCTAATATAACCAATAACCTCAAACCTTATCCATCATTATCCAATAATGTTGTAACATTTGTCCCCTCAAATTGTAAAATAACGTACTGCCAAAGTGCCAAATTCAAATTTTAAATTTCAACATTGCCAAATTTCCCTTCCTAATTCAATTATAACGACCAAATACCAACTATACAACACATTCTTCCATCAATTCGATGCTATAGTAGTACAATATTCGTTCCAGAGTTAGATTGTAATTTACAAAGAAACGTACCAGTAGAGAGACCCACGATTGATTTTGATGTCGTTGCTTTCTCTTCCCAAACCCTCATTCTTTCTACATAATATTTTCTCCTTTATTATTATATGATTATTATATAAGACAAACTATAAAGTGTGAAAGTAACCGACTTTTAAGTTTGCATTTATTTTTCTTAACCACCAACTAAATAAATTATAAAACTACCCCATTGAATTCATAAATGTAGTTACGAATAGTCCAAAATACTCATTTAGAGTCTATCTAAAAGTCTTTTACAATATAGAAAGCTCTAATTCTCAAAACGATCAAATGGGTCGTTATGTTTATGTACCCTTTGTTCATCCTCAAACGCTCAAAAGAAGGTGAGGGTAAGAAAGTATAGCTGTTTCTACAATTCCTTATCCAAGGTCTCATATCAAAAGTATCAAACAAACCAATTGGAGATTTACACGAAGTTAAAACATGATGTTGATGATGAGATAAATCTTAAGTATATCGAACAACTGTAAATTTTCATGGTAGCTCTCCGATAAATTCTCATAAGCAAAATTGTACATGTAGAATAGCTAGTATACTTCAATCAGATCCAAAGGACTAACCCAAATTTTATGCATACTTTCGAACTAAAATCTTCAATTGAATTAACCCAAGTATATTCACTGAATTTCTTTATCCATAAGATTGTCATTCAGGCATCAATCCCCTCCTTTGGAGCTTAAAATAAAATCACTAGTCCAAGAACCCTCAAGATACATTTCACAACCAAAATGTATTAATACCATAGCAAAGATCCACTACTAAAAGATTTTCCCTTAAAATGATACTTAATCCAAGCGGTCGTAGTAACAAACTAGGTGGTTTCTCAAATTTGAAAGCAACATGAAATCTCATTATCTAAACATGTCATACCACTGATAGCTCCTTAAGTAGTTAGTATTTACACTTGACAATCGATGTATTTGTTTCCACATAACACTAGTATTGTACTGTACCGTGAAAGGTCGTTCATCTATCACTATAACACATCATATTTATCGAGAAGATCGCACCCGAATAGCTCAAATAATTATACCCATTGAATTACTATAAAGTATTATCAAATCCATTCTGTCTCTACCCACAAGCAATTTGAAATCTTTCTTAGATCAGCTCAATAACAAAAGTAACACACTTAATAAATCTGACCCTCCATAATATAAAATCAATCCATGGGATCATAGTAAAGATTTTGACCTCGATTGGCGCACCCTAATTTCATTATTTAAATAAAGTATAAAATTTGACCTCATAGGCCACAACACATATCTTCCATTTTTATATATTTAAGAAACCATCTCTTTTCTTATCGCTCTAGATCTGGGGTATTTAATTGGATGAAGAAGATAGAAAATGTTTTCTTTAAGTCATAGGTAGTTGCTTTAATAATCGACAGTCAACATGAAACTACTACAACATTTTGCATCTCTCCAGAACTAGTATGTCACAAACTAAACACTAAGCCTATCTACTATATTCATTTTATGAAGCAGGTCAAAACAATCAACAATGAAAGTATAAGTATCTTCATAATTAATACCCATGAAGAATGAGGGTTTCAACTTTATGAACTTAATTAAAAAATTATGTTGATCACTAGTCATTACTGGTCATGTAGTCAATCGAGAAAATATGCCTATATGAAAGGACACATTTTTTTTCTTTCTGATGAACCTATATGTGAAATAGAGTGAAGAAGTTCATAAACAACTTTTATAACTAAGATACCAATTTATATCACCTAAATACCAGTTGGATTCAAGTAGTAGCACGAAAGAAACAAGGAATGAAGTTTTCTTAAAGTCTAATATCCTCTCAAAGAAAAGTAAAGGTGTTCCCATATTGTTCCTCAAACTGTACTAGACTTGTCCTTGTAGGATGAGATCGTTGAACCTAATGTGTGCTCTGATACCAAGCTCGTCACGACCCAAAACGAGTCAGGAGTGACACCCACGCTTAATTTCCTAGGTGGGAGAACCAATGAATCCAACCCCAACTTACATTTATAATTCAACTTATGAAATACTAATCATAATGCGGAAGGTTAAATCTTATTAGTGTAAGAAAC